TCCTCGTTATCTCCCCGGCCCCCTCCAGGGGGCCAGGGTCCCACTCACCTGGCTCTATGTGCCAGGTGGCCACAAGGACAGCAGCCTGGAACCTATCCACGTCGAGTCGACTAAGGACCCATCTTTTTGGGAGAGGAAAATTCCTCTCCCCTGGGCGGCGAGCCGACACCTGCTTCGGTTTGGGGAGACGGAGGGCCCAGACTATGTATCTGTGGTTAGATAACGTCTCACCCTCCGCCTCCACCCTCCATTCGGAGAATAACCTCGCAGCCGAGAGGGAGGCCTAAGTCAAATCAATGACCGATGACCCCCCTCCCGGCCTTATGCAGGTGTCGGTGGACCCTCTGTTTTGTAACAGAAGGCCCAATCCCGCCGCCCAGCCGATGACCGCCTCGCCCCTGGGATCCTGCTGCCGGGGACTGCAACCCCACTTCTCAGAGTGGGCATTGAAGTCCCCGGCAATCACGACAGGTCAGGGATGGCACTTGCGTACCAGGTCCCCGATCCTGTCTAGGATCCCTTTGATACGGGCGGGGCAGCCAAGTCCGGCTTTGTTCCTGTGATTGGGGAGATATACCCCCATCACAGTTATGGGTCCCCAGTCGACCGCCACGTACGAGGACCCCTTTTCCCTTAAAACACAAGGAGGGGTCTCTGCTGCAGGGTCAGCCACCATGGCCACCGAGCCGTCCGGGCTGCCGAACCAGCATTTACTGCTGATCGGCACCCAGTTCGGCTCGGTGGCCACCCCCAGTCCGGCGCCCAGTTCCCGGATCCTGTATACCCACAGGTCCTGAGCCCGGGCGCAGCGGCCGAGGTTCGCCTGTAGCACCCGGAGTGGCGTGAAGGCTATGTCTTACACGCCTCCTCCGGGCTGTCTACCTTCGCCCCCTCTTGAGAGACCTCTGGCGGCTGGGCCCCCTCGATCTCCCCAGAGGGGGCTTCGGCTTTGGTGGCTTCGACCTTCTGCGCCTCTTCCGGCACGGAGGGCGACTGCCGCTCGGGTGTCCCTGCCTGAACGTTTCCTTCCTCTGGGGGGTATGAGGGGGAGTTGCAGAGGAGGCCGGGCTGGCCTCCTCCGGCTGCGGAGTCCGGTCCACGGGATCTTCTTGAGGGGGTCGGGCCTCCCCCTTCTCTGTTCCCTCGACCACAGTCGGCAGCCTCCCCTTCTCGTGCGCCTTAACCCCCCTCCTCTTCCTTGAGGAGGAGGGTTTGCAGGCAGGCCCTCCGATCTTATGATCAGAAGGCCCGCCCGCCTCGGCGGGCAGCGAGCCGCCCCTTGGCACCCTCTGGCGCGATGGCCGGGGTTACCGCAGCGGTAACACAGCCCGCTGCGGTCGGTGACGCTATCGCACCTCTCGCGCACATGCCCCGGTTCCAAGCACCGGTAGCATAGTTTGGCGCGAACAAGCAGCGCCACCACCGTGGCGCGAGTCCATCCGACTAGGACTCGCTCCGCGGCGGCTACCTTCGCGGCAGCCGCCAGCGGACACCGCGCCACCATCGTGCCGGTGCCCCACCGGGAGATGCTTACCTCACCGGAGGAAACCTCCTCCGGCAGGCATCCCCCGGCGAGGGCCACCGCGGCCACAACCTCGTCAGCCTCGGTTGTCGCATCGAGGCCGGTCAGTTGCAATGCTGCGATCTTGACCGACCTACGGATGCGAAAACCGGGGCCTTTCTCCGCCGTCAGCTTGCGGAGCTCCTGCGCAAGCCGGTCGGCGGCTGCCCCGCGGTGAGGCCAGGCACCTCGACCAGCATATTCCTATTCAGGACCTGAGTAACCCTCAGGGATCCCGGGATACCCAGGTCTGCTGGTCTTATCCGGCGCCGGGCCTCTACCATGAACTCCCGATAGCGGCGGGGGGGGGCAGGTGATGGCGACGGCCGCGCTCTTCGGCGGCTTCGGCTGACCCGGTCTCGCCCCCTTCTTCCCTTTCTTCGCCCCCGCCTGCTTGGTGGGGGAGGAGTGGAAGCCGTTCTCACCCCCTCCTTTTCCTTCCTCTTCTCCTTCCTTCCCAAGACTCGGGACCAGGCCTCTTCTTTTCTCTCCTCAACCCGGAGCGTTCATCACAGTCCTCCTTCGTACCCCAGCCCTTCCAGCTATTTGGCCGGGATTCCTTGTCCTCCTTCCTTGGCTAGTCTCCCTCTCCTTGTTGAATCTAGCCCTTGCCTTCTTCCTTTTCTTCTTCTCCTTGGCCTTTTCCCTTTTTCTTGCTTAGTCCACCGTAGTTTTTTTAGCCTGGGCCTGGCCCTCCTTCTTACCGTGGTCCTCTTCCTTGTCCTTGTCCTTGTTGCCTCGGGCTGGTGCAGGAGACTCCACCCCCTCTGCGACCCGGCTCCCGTCCCATCCGTAGACGAGGTGAGGCTTCTGATCAATCAGTCGCCTCACCCCACCACCGGATGCGCGGGCCATATTCGCCATGGAGGCGTCCAGGTCCCCCTGCACCCGCCCAGGCTCGGGTCTCCATGTCGGAGAGGGAGTCTCCCCCGGGAGTCTATCGTCATGTACGGGGTAGATACCCGGACGAGCCTCCCTCTCCCTTACCTCTCCCCCAAGGGGGGAAGAAGAGGAGATAATTCTTGCTACTCTCCTCTTCTTCCTCTTTTTCTCCCTCTTCTTCTCCTCTCTTACTTCCTCCTCCGCCGAGGTAGACGCCTCTCCGCTCGTTACTTCCGCATACGTTCTTCTTCTCCTCGACGGCTCCAGGAGAGGGGGCTGAGTGGAGGCTGTCGGGGCCCTGGCCTTCTGGAACTCCTCCTGGAGCTTCATATTTTCGGCCCGTAGCGCCCTGATCCCCTCCCTGAGTTCCTCGATCTCTCTCATTACCTCCGGCCTCTCTGCTCCGCCACCCCCCTGTGCAGCCGTCCTGGCTATCAGGGTCGACAGAGCCGCCTGGGAGGTGGTAGTGGCCCGGTTCAGCAGGCTGGTGAACGTCCCCTCCAGGGTGTTTGAACGTTTAGCCACCAGCCTGACTGCACCTAGGGCCCGACCCACCTCGTCGACAAGCTCTGCCGAACCCCTAAGGAGGTTTAGAGAGGAAATATCCTTAAAAACCTCCTCAGCGGGGCGCTTGTCCGCCAGGGTTTGGCAGAGCCCCCTTTCCAGGATGTTCCACGCCTCCTTTTCCAGCCTCTTGAGGCGCTCTTCTCCCTCGCCTCCTTCTCTCTCCTTTCCTTCAGCCTCATCCCTTCTCCGGTCGTGGCTGGTCTTCCCTTCTTTTTACCCACTTCGCACGCCTGTGCGATCAGGCCCATAATTTCGGCCACTGCCGAGTTGAGGTTCTGCCCCTCCTTCCATCGTGGCCATGTAGTCGCCTCAAGGACTATTGCCAGCGTGTCTTTGTCCAATTGGCTTAGGGCCCATCTGGCTGGTCGGGGATCCTTATTGAGTCTGGGCCGTGGCAATCCGTTGGGGGTGGCGGAGAGTTCCATTTCGATGATTAAATGGTCTGATAGGGACTCCAATTCCTCCGCCACCCTCCAGGCCTGCACCTTTCCATAAGCCGCAGGGGTCGCCCACGTGAGATAGATCATGGACTCCCCCTGCGGTCCGACGAAGGTTGGTTTCCTTCCTTTATTTATAAGGTGCTGGTCCAAATCCACGGTCCACTCTTCTACTTCCTCCCCCCTCCTGTCACCATCCCGGGTTAGACTCCACAACGCCGACTTGGCGTTGAAATCCCCGGCGATGATGACAGGGCCCGGGAGGTCTCACGTCCCTCCCGATTTATCGAAGCCTGGACTTGTAGGTTGGCAAGTCCAGGTTCTTGCTTGAGGGGAGGTAGACCCCGACCATAATAAGGGGCCCCCACCTGGCCACGACATACCCCTTCCCCTTACCCAGTTGGGTAGCGGGGGGGAGTGATTATCCGCCCTCCATGTTATAGCGACGGAGCCCGACTCGTCCCCAAACCACCTAGGGTTGATTTTTGGGAAGCAGTAGGGCTCCGCCGCTGTTCCCAGACCTGCACCACGCTCCGTCATAGTGTGCGCAAAGAGCGGCATCGCTTGACGGGCGTGGTGCAGGTTGGTCTGGAGAAGTCGGGTGGCCATTATTATTCGTCTACTACGATAACCTTTTCACCCGCCTCCTCCAGTCCGTCATCCTTGTCCTCGTCCCTTTTCCGGGTCCTCTTTTCCCCTCTCTTCTCCACCTCCATCTCCTCCTCAACCCGTGCGTTAGAGGGGGGAGGGTAGTCGGTAGGAGAGTTGGGGCGTATGACTTCCTCCTTCTCCTTCTTTTCTTTCTCCCTGCAGCTGGAGGGTGCTTTCGCCTTTGTTACTGTCGCCGTTGCTACTGCTGTTGTCCCTGCTGGTGCCTCTGTTGCAGCCTGCTTCTTTCCCTCTCCTGCTTTCTGTCTCTTCTTTTTCCCTTTTTTAGGGGCCGGGTCACCCATACGGTGGTCCGCTGGCTTCCCTCCGGCTGCGCACACCTGGCACCTGGCCCTAGAGTTGCAGTCTCTTGTCAGGTGGCCAGTTTCTCCGCATCTGTAACAATTTCTGCTCCTGTCCACTTCGCTCTTGCACTTAGTTTGCACGTGGCCTCTTTCCAAGCACCTGTAACATTGTAGGGGTTTCGCCTCCAGCATGTCGACTTTGACCTGGGTCCAGCCTATGGTCAGTGTCCCCTTTTCCGCCGCCTTCTTGGCTGCGACCAGGGGACACCGGACCCATAGGAATCTGGATCCATTCGGTGCGGGGTGATTCTCCCGGTCTTTACGTTCGTGGCTTCACACCCTCCGATTTTCGCCACCTTTTCCGCCACTTCCTGTTCTGTGGTGGACAGCTCCAGGCCTCTCAGTCGTATTTCCCCAATTTTTTGGGGCCGACTGACCCTGGCCCTATCCTCCACTACTTCCCGCAATTTCTCAGCGAGTAGGTCCGCCTGTTCTCCTCTTCTTTCCCCAGGGATCTCCAGGATCAGCGCTCCGGTGACTCCAACTCTTGTTTTCATCCTGGAGATCCCCAGTTCCTCAATGTCGATTTTGGCTTTTGCCTCAACCAACAATTCTTTGTACTTCCCGCTGTCCGCCGAAATTGTTATTGTGGCTGTGTTCGGGACTCTCCTCTTCCTTATCCTCCTCCTCTTCTTCTCTTCCATCTTTATTCCTGTCCACAGGTTTTGGAGGCTGGGCTTGGGCTTTCTTCGCCGTTTCTCTCCTCTCCTTTTTCTTCTCTTTCCTTCCCAACACTTTGGCCCAGCTTTCCTCGGGCTTGGTGGTATCTGCCCTCTCCATTTCCCTGATGGGGAGAGGAGGAAATTCCTCCTTTTTTGTTTTGGGGAGGGGAGGCATGGATTTCCGTCCACTCTTCTGCTGCTCCAATGCTGTTGCATTCACCCCTTTTGCCCCTTTTTTCTTCCTTTCTCTCGGCTCTCTCTGCGGTTTCGGTTGTTCCGCAGGTAGATTGGAGACCTCGCCCTGGCTGTCCCTATTTTGTGGCGCCATTTGGCTCAGCACATTAGCCACTATGGACGCCACCTTTCTTTTTAGGGCCTCAACTTCTTCCACTGTACCTTGCTGTTTTTCGATTCTAACCTTTTTGTTGAACCGATCGTCCTCCTTTATAGTCGGTCCAGGTTTCCCGACTTTGATGACCTTTATATTTTCTTTTAGGGCCTGTTTTCTCCAGATTTGTTTTTATAAGTCCCTTCTGGACTTCAATGACCCCCAACCCTGACTGGTCTTCGTCCTCCATGTCATCGATGGGGGGAATATGTACCCTTCTGGATCGGGTTCCCTCATTTCCTCCTTCCTGACATGGACTGTAGTCGGGGGTGGTACACGTCGAGGAGGTGGAGGATCTACCGGCATTGATGGTGGCGCCTCCTTTAATTGGCGGATGGTACCCTTTAGCTTCTCCATCTCCTTTCTCAGTTCTTCTTGAGAGGTGCGGAGCCTTTGATTCTCGCTCCGCACCTCCTCTAGAACCTCTATATTTCCTCCTCCTTCCGCTACTCTTCTGCTGAGTATAGTGGCTCCCACCGTTATTGTTACAGCAGCATCCCTTAGGACTTTTATGTAGGTCCCTTTGAGGTTTCCGGACCTTATAGCGATCCCCAGCATCTTCTTAGGGGCGTCTAGTACAGACGCAGCTAGATCGTTCGTTGGGGCCTCCTCCATGCACTCCGTCTGCCTGTTTATCTCGGCCACGTACTTACGATTATTCGTAAGGTTGGTAAACGAGACAGACGGATTGTCCATTGCCTTCAAGAGATTCTCCTCCTTCGTCTTCGTTTGGAGCATCTCTTTCCTCGCCATGTATGCCTTTTTAAGGTCATACTCCCCAGTGGTTTTGGGTCTGCCTCTCCTCCTTAAGGCCGTTGCCGCAAAGGCCTCTTTATCGGTCTCCCCGTCAGATTTGTAAGGGATAAACCACTTACAAGTCTTCTTCTCGGGGGACTTCGGTCTCTCTGGCGATGTTGAGGCCGATGTGGACACCATTCTTCTATTGGGAGTCCTTGATATGGACCGCGACGGGGATTTGTTGTCCGTCCTGCCGCCTCTCCGCATTGTAGCACGGGTGTTCTTCCCCCTTGTTGCTACGTTACGAGACGAGCTGCGAGGTCCGCTCTTATCAGCCATCTGGCTAGTGCCACTCTGGCTAATGACGGAGGTTATTCTCTCAGTCTCCTCCATGTGAGAGCTGGTAGGGGTGACCAACTCCCTTCACTCCTTACGACTTGCCGGGTTCGTCATAACATCTTTGGTGTCCAGATCCTTTTCCATTCTTCTTTTATTTGTTTTTTGTTTAGCGAGGTCGTCATTGTTGTTTTGTAACCCACAACTTCGTACGGTCACCCGGGCGTGTCCTCTGGAAAAGGGGGAGCCTCCGAGTTCCCCCAGAGGAGTAACATATGGCGCGGGCCGACGGAATTACCATCGTCGGCACTGGCCTCCCGCCCCCTACACGCGCCCTGACCACTATTTCTGGTGGCCAGACCGCTTTTGAGGGTCCCATACCTCCGATAATATGGGCACCGTACGAAGCGCCGCCACGCGGAGGGCCCCATGGAGGGAGGTAGCTTACCGGTGTTGCACTCCACCGGGAGCGCCTCCCCCATGGCAGCCAGCATGCTCGCGTCGCCCGAGGGTCCACTTTAGGGCGATGCGATCGCATTCCCTCGGGCACAGCATATAGGGGTTCCGGCCCCGCCTCGAAATACGTCCGAACAGCCCGGAACATACCTCTACCCCCCAGGTACCTTAAGGGGTTCCAAACCCTTATGGTGTGCAGATCCGGGTGTGGATTCCAACCTCCGCCCGGCCGTAACCGGGATGGATGAGGGAGAGGTCCTCCCCCTTCGGCTGCCGGAGCACCGGCGTGCAATGCCTCCGGGGGTGGGGTCCTCTATGATGGCGCATGAGGGTGTCCCGACCCAGACCTCAGAATACGTCCGAGCGGCCCGAGACACCCCTCCACCCCCCGGGTACCATGGGGTGCAGACCTGGGTGTGGGTTCCTCGTTCCGTCTGGCCGAGGCCAGACGGGTGAGGGAAAGCGGGGTGGTCCACCTTCATTGGCTGCCGGAGCACAGGCGTGCAATGCTTCCGAAGGTGGGGTCCTTTCCCCTCTTCGCCCTAGGATGTCTCGACCCCGACCTCGGAATAAGTCCGAGCGGCCCGCGACACCCCTACACCTCCCGGGTACCATGGGGATAATTCCCCATGGTGTGTAGACCCGGGTGTGGGTTCCTCCGTCCGCCCAGCCGTGGCTGAGACGGACGAGGGAGAGAGGTCCTCCCCTGTCGGCTGCCGGAGCACCGGCGTGCAATGCCTCCAGGGGTGAGACCTCTCAGGACGTGGTAGGGTACCCCGGCCCCGACCTCGGAAACGTCCGAGCGGCCCGGAGTACCCCTCCGCATCCCAGGCACCATGGGGGGGAGAAGATTCCTATGGGGTGGAGCCCTGGGTGCAGGTACGTCCCTCCGCCACCGAACCGTCCATAACGGACAGATCGGGGTGGGTAAGGAGGGTGTTCTCTCTCTTCGGCTGCCGGAGCACCGGCGTGCAATGCCTCCAGGGGTGATAGTCTCCTCCCACTCGCTTCACAACCAGTCTGATCGACCAGGCTGATCGACCAGGCTGATCGACCAGCCCGGTCGGGTGCTCTTGGTTCAGTCCCTCCGTACAGACTTCTCCGGCATGGTAGAACCTGCCAGGGGCCGAAACCCCCGCCGGCACAGCTCTGTACATCATTGGGACCTTCAAGCCCCCCCACCACGACAAGGTGACACCCACGGGGGGATACCCAAACCATACCAAACCTAACCTAGGTTAGGGTTTTTGGGGAGAGGTGCGAGGGGAGGGGCGGAGCCCCTCCCCTACGCATATACGTGTACTATTTACTATATTTCTTTGTACAGGATGGGTGATTATAAGTTGCCAACCTGAAATGTAAAGGTAGATTGGGTTAAGATAAACATAAAAGTCTTATACCGTTTTGCGAGATTCGCCATAATTATCGAGTTATTAATGACAGAAATCTGAGGAATGGGAGCGCGCCGACATAGATGATTGGAGAAGTGTTACAGCTGCTTAGGCCGCAGCGCGGCCCAGTTTATTCAGAAACTGTTGCCGCTGTGCGGCGAGGGAAAAAATAATGCGCTGCTATTCGTTGTTTTATCTCGCCGGACCTACGTCTCGCACGCCGCCAACAGTTGCTAGGTCGAGTGGGCCGCATTGTGGCCTGCGTAGCTGCAACGCTTCTCCAATCATTTATGTCGGCACGCTTCCATTCCTCAGATTTGTGTCATTAATAACTCGATAATTATTGCGAATCTCGCAAAACGGTATTGGACTTTTATGTTTATATTAACCCAATCTACCTTCACATTTCGGGTTGGCAACTTATAATCACCCACCCTGTATATATTAGGTGCGCAACTAATTTCCCGCTGTTTCTCAAGAGATGGCTCCAGTAGTAAGTGCTGGTCGATTGTGACATAACCAAAACGTCATGAACCAAGCTTAGACATATGGTAAACAAACCGCTTTGACACATTAGTGATTTTGTTTTTGCATCATATACTTTTGGTTGTGTGAAAATGTCTTATTTTGTGCCAAATAATCATTTGCGGGAAGTGTTGCTTTTCTTCTTTCATTCGAAGAAAACGGCAGCTGAAGCGCATCGAGAACTCCAAAAAGTTTACAGAGATGCTGTTCTAAGTGAAACAACGTGTCATGATTGGTTCCGTCGCTTCAAAGACGGTGATTTCGATGTTGACGACCGTTCGCGTGAAGGAAGGCCAAAAACCTTCGAAGACGCTGAATTGGAGGCATTGCTCGATGAGGATCCGTGCCAAACGCAAAAAGAGCTTGCTTCAGCATTAGGAGTTACCCGCCACGCCATTTCCAAGCGATTGCATGCGTTGGGAATGATTCAAAAACAAGGAACTTGGGTTCCTTATAATTTGAAGCCAAGAGACGTTGAGCGTCGTTTTTTCGCCTGTGAACAACTGCTCCAGCGGCAAAAAAGGAAGGATTTTCTTCATCGCATCGTTACGGGTGATGAAAAATGGATTAATTACAGCAACCCAAAGAGAACAAAATCATGGGGACTGCCCGGTCATGCTTGTACGTCGTCGGCTCGGCCGAATATTCACGCTGCGAAGTTTTTGCTGTGTATTTGGTGGGACCAGGGCGGTGTTATTTATTATGAGCTGTTGAAACCGAACGAAACCATCACTGGGGAACGGTATCGAACTCAGTTGATGCGATTGAGCCGAGCACTGCGCGAAAAGCGGCCACAATACGAGCAGAGGCACGAAAAAGTGATTCTACAGCATGACAACGCTCGGCCTCACGTTGCCAAATCCGTTAAAACCTACTTAGAAACGCTCAAATGGGAAGTCCTATCCCACCCGCCATATTCCCCAGATATTGCGCCGTCCGATTATTACTTGTTCCGTTCGATGGCACATGATCTGACTAATCAGCAGTTCCGCTCATATGAAGACATCTCAAAATGGCTTGATTCAAAAGACGATTGGATAGCCTCAAAAGACGAACACTTCTACCGTGACGGTATTCGAGCTCTGCCAGAAAGATGGGAAAAAGTTGTCGCTAGCGATGGGCAATATTTTGAATGATTAATTTGTAACCATTTTTTCACAATAAAGTTGCATTTTCATCAAAAAATCAGCGAGAACTTAGTTGCGCACCTAATATTATGTGCAAAAATATACACATGAGTATATATATGTAATACTTATACAACTTCTCTTGTTAATAACTTTTTAATAAACAGTAAGCGACGGCTAAAACCTTTTTAGTGTTATTTAGGAAGGTGTTCTATAACATATATCAATATGAAAACTATCGGAGGTGGGTCCCCTAAATCCCACTTTTACCAATAGAAGTTCACAAAGAATTCATTGTAAAGAATACTAGAATGAGTAAAATGAATATTTGAAGAATATTTAATGAATTACCTACAATTAAGTTCAGCTTGAAGTATTCCTCAAGAAGTCATTATAATGAATACTTCGCGCAGTTTTTAAAGAAAAATATGGAAGAGCGTTGATTGGCTGTTCAAATAGTGCATCCTCCGTCCGGCACGCTCATTTCCGTACCAGCTTATACTATGTATTTTCTTACACTTTAATGCATTGCGCATGCTTCTCAGTCTTTATTATCGGCATAATAGATTTCCTAACCCTATGTGTGACATTTCTCAGATTTTTGTAATTTTTGAGAACGATCTTTTTTACTTGTGAATAATAAAAGTAAGCAATTGCATCGACTAGTTATAAAAAATGAAACGTCGACTGAAACCATTCTGTTCCGTACGGCATGTGATGCCGTGCGGGGGTTCTCGCTAGCGGCGAGGGACGCGGGTTCTCGCGAGCGAGCGCGCGGGGCTCCCGGTAGGCCCGACCACGGCCGCTACACGGCGCGGCCTGCGATTCCACTGCCCGCAGGCAAGATTCGGCCGCTAGGCTATATAACCGGGCGCGCCGTGCTTTATTTCGCCTTGCCTTGTCTGCTGCAGGATTTCAGCTTGGCCATTCTCAGTAGCAAACCTGTGCTGCTTTTTAGTGCGATTGTCGTACTGGTGGTTACCGACGCGCTTTCTGGGATTTCCTAGAGCGATCTGTTCTCACGTTCGGATTCGAACTACCGCTCTATACACTCTGCTGAGTTGAAGGCGTCGCCGGTACACCCTGCTAGGTTGAAGCTAATGGTTCGAATCTCGTCTTCTAATCTCGTGCTCACGGCGTTGCCGTGATTTAGGAGCGACTCGACCGTCTTCTCGGAGCTCCGAACTCCCTTGTTTCCCAAGCGCCCGTCGGGGGCCTTGGCGATTTAGAAGCGACTCGGTCGCCGTCTCTAGAGCTTCGAACTCTTTCTTCCAAGTGTCCGTAGGGGAACTTGGCTTTCTCGCAGAAGCGACTCGGTCGCCCTGCGAGCTAAAGTGAGAGCTCAGTGCTCTCTTCCACGCGTCTTCGGGACCGTGGCTGTAGGCCGTTACGTCCGGAAGGGCAGGCCTTCCGAAATGACGGAAATCGTTTCATCACACGTACCTGACGCGCTCCGGGTGTCGCACACCGTTGACGTCACAGACGTGTGTGTCTTGCGAGACTTTGCGTAGGCGAGCGGTTTCGCCTTGTAAATAGCTGCGCTTATTCTCTTCTGCGT